CCTATCCTGCTCTCTTTCTTTCTGATTCCCTTCACTCTAACTCATTCCTTGCATTCATAACATGTTTGTGTTTTACTGTAATAGTGGAATAATTCACTGCTTTTAATTACATTCTGTTTTATAAACAACAACAACAACAACAACAACAACAACAACAACAAAAGAACACCCCGCAGTAGTGCAGGACAAGAAAGAAACAAATTAGCATCTTGATTCCCTCCCTACATCGTAACCCCCCCTCCATCCTCTGTCCCCACCCTAATTTGTCCTCTTTTTTCTGCCGCGCTCTCGTTTTCTCTCCTATTCACAATCAGCTCTGCCTCTGCGGCTCCTCTGTAAAATACTCATGCTCCTGCTGTAAAAGCGGAAGAATGTTTTTTCTGAATGAAAGCTTAACCGATGCCTCCTTTGTTTTGTTGGAGGAGAACACGGAGTGTCGTTGTGTAATCGAACGATCCGCTGCGCCGTGTCCATTCACTGAAAAAAACACAGTTCTTTCTCTTCCCCTTTTTTTTACTCCAGATCCATTCAGCAGGAGACTGTTGTGTATGAATGAAAACCTGCAAAACCCACAGCACCTCCAACCCCCCCTCATTCTCATTCTCATTCTCTGTCTCTCTGCTCTTCCTGTGCATGCAGGAGGATACCAGACAGAGCAGCAGAGCTGTGTGTTGTATGTACGAACCCAAAAGGTGTCCTCTCTCTTGCTCTCTTTCTCCCACCCTCTCCCTTCTCTTCTGTCTCTCTCTCTGTCTCCCCTCTTTCTCCCACTCTCACTCTCTTTCTCCCACCCTCTCCCTTCTCTTCTGTCTCTCTCTCTCCCCTCTGTCTCCATCTCTCGCTCTCTTTCTGCCACCCTCTCCCTTCTCTTCTGTCTCTCTCTGTCTCCCCTCTGTCTCCATCTCTCGCTCTCTTTCTCCCACCCTCTCCCTTCTCTTCTGTCTCTCTCTCTCCCCACTGTCTCCATCTCTCGCTCTCTTTCTGCCACCCTCTCCCTTCTCTTCTGTCTCTCTCCCTCTTCCTCTCTCGCTCTCTTTCTCCCACCCTCTCCCTTCTCTTGTTTCTCTCTCCCTCTCCCCTCTGTCTCCCTCTCTCACTCTCTTTCTCCCACCCTCTCCCTTTTGTCTCTCTCTCTCTCCCCTCTGTCTCCATCTCTCGCTCTTTTTCTGCCATCCTATCCCTTCTCTTCTGTCTCTCAGTCTTGTTCTCTTTCTCCCATCCTCTCCCTTCTCACCTACCTCTCTCTCCCCTCTGTCTCCCTCTCTCGCTCTCTTTCTCCCACCCTCTCCCTTCTCTTCTGTTTTTCTCTCTCCCCTGTCTCCCTCTCGCGCTCTCTCATCCTCTCCATTCTTGTCTGTCACTCTCTGCCCCTCTGTCTCCCTCTCTCCCTCTCCCCTCCATCTCTCTCTCAACCTCTTGCATGTTTCCTTATTTTTCTTGCTTTCCCATCTCTCCCCAACCCCTTAATTTCTCTCTCTCTCTCTCGCTCTCTCTCTCTTTCCATCTGTTTCTTTCTCCTCTCTATCTGTTTCTCCTCTCTCTCTACTGTCTCTCTCTCACTCTGTTTTGCATCTTTCTCTGGCTCTCTCTCATCTTTCTTTGTTTCTCTCCCTTGCCCCCCCCCCTCAGAATGTCGGATTCCCTCCGTCTTGTCCTCGTTCTGTCTCTTGCGTATCTCCTCGCAGACGCAGACTGCAGATCATTAGCGAGTCGGGAGGTTATAGAAACAAACACTAATTGCTGTAATGAGGAGCGCTTGTGTGCAGCGTTTGCGTGCATGTACACACATGTGTTTACTTCCACAGTACCAGGAGAAAATCCACAATGGGGCTGCGTGACTTTGTACACACGGCATCACACCAGGACGAGGAGTGTGTGTGTGTGTGTGAGTGTGAGTGTGAGTGTGAGAGAGAGAGAGAGAGAGAGAGAGAGAGAGAGAGAGAGAGAGAGAGAGAGAGATCGGGGGGCTTTTCTGGTGACAGACACCTCAAGAAATCCATGTTGCAATGCAGGCAGGAGTGACCATATGGAAAAGCAGGAGGGAGCAGAGAGAGAGAGTGAGAGAGAGAGAGAGAGAGAGAGAGAGAGAGAGACAGAGGGGGAAAACAGAGGACAGCTCTTGAGCTTATACACAGAATGAACACACACACACACACACACAAACACGCAGCTCTGCCTGGCATCCTCCCGCATGCACAGGAAGGGCACTTACGTAAGGCAGTCTGGGATATTCCTGCTCGGCATCCAACTCTGTTGCTGGCTTAAAGCCCCCCCATCTCTCTCTCTCACACACACACACACACACACACACACACACACACAGGGAAACCACAAAGAACCAACAACCAGTGTTTGTGCATTTTGGGAACTTAACGAGCAGTGAAACAGTCTCGCAAACTAGACTTCTGCCTATCATCAGAGAGTCTGGTGGGTTTTGTTGTACATGCTTTGCTGGGTGCCTTGCATTTTATGCGCCGCACATGGGTTGTCTTTTGTCCAGAGCACTCCACATGCCCTTAAAAAAAGTCATTGTTGTGTGCTGACCAATCAGATCAAAAGGAAGTCAGTGACAGATGCAATGGCTACCCTGAACTGACTGACTTAACAGACCAAAATTAGCACAATATGAACAGAAATCCTTCTCTTTTTAGTTCAGGTGGCGCTAGAAGCACATGATAGTTTAGTCAAAAAAAGACACCAAAGCTGATTGACAGTTTCAGTGCTATCAGTGAAGATCAGATAGGTGCAGAGACAGAAGCAGCTGCTGGTTGTGCACCTAGCGTTTTTCATCTTGAGCTTTACTCGATATCAACCATTTCAATTAAAACTCTTCAGCTACATTTAACTGAAACATGGCAAACTTTTTTCAACTCTCGCTCTGAAAGGCTCATTGTTGTCATAGTGTACAGAGCTGCTTAATACTCCTGAGTAGCTAGCATTTACAGAGCTCAAAAGTAGTCCTGGGGCCCTCCTATTTGTTTCTTAGAATGGTTAATTTTTTGTGGAAATTGTGCTTTGCCACATTCAGAAGTGCATCATTTCAGCTATATATCAATACTTTAGCTGAACTCTAGCTGAGTTAGAAACCTTCACCCACCACCCTGTTTACTTTAGAAAAAAACATTGGGACACTAATCCAAATGCATGCATGTTCAAATCAAAGATTTTTGTTTTTTGGATTTTTCCCCAATTTGGTCGTTTCCAATTCCACCCACTAGTTGAGACTCCCCCAGTCACGTAACACCACCAGCTCTAGGAGGGCGAAGGCTAGCACAGGCTTCCTCCAAGACCTGTGAAGTGCCACTGCATCTTTTCGAACCGCCGCTAACGCAACGTCATTGGACAGCCAAATGCGCTCAGAGGAAAGCGCCAACCGCCAGATCTGTTACGCCAGCTAACAGACGCCTAACATATCATTAATATATTATTATATTATTATTATAGGCCAATTGTGCTCTCTTGGACTCCCGGCCACGGATGGCTGTAGCATCACCAGGAATCAAACTCGTGACCTCCTGATCAGGAGCAACGCTTAGACGGGTGCACCACTAAGGAGCCAACCAGAGATTTTTAACATACCATCCAACACACCAGAAACTAAACTGCATTAACATTTTGAAAGACAGAGAAAGTTAGAACACTTGCCCATTGAGTTAATCTGACAAAAATATATCATCTCTTGGTAATGAAATGTCTGTGAGAAAGATTACACACACACGCACAGAAAATAAATCCAAAATCAAAAGCGAACAATATTCCCGAAGTGGTGGAAAGATGTAGGATACATTCAAAACCTGCCACGCTCTGGCCATCCAACAAGGCAGGCTGAGAATCAGTTATGCAAACTCAATGCCTAGAAGACTTCATCCAAAAGAGATATGCAAAACAATACTGACCTACATAGAATACTAAACATTAACATACATAAAGGCAAGAGACACTAATGTTTGTCCCATTAAGTTCAGTACTTCTGCTTGCCTTTTTAAGTCTTCTGTTAATTATTGGGATAATTTTGAACTTCAGCAAGTAAACTTAGTTGATATTGCTGGTGGTTATAACTTTTCTTATGGATACGAATAAAGCAATGATAAAATGGTAGCATAGACGTTCATTCATCTATACAGCTAATGTAAGTCCGTAATCTTGATCACCCTCACACTAATCACAACAAAAGTTTTTCCCCCGCGAACAGAAAGTCACACTGCAACCCCAGCAAGACACTGATTGCTGTGCATGTGTTTGTTTACTTTCGCCTGGTGCTCCCGTACTTATTAGTGTTCACTGCACGTTTTAAGCCAGGAGAACCGGAAACCAAAGCTGTTCCACAACACCTGTTAATTCATACTGAGTGTCTGAGAAGAAGTGAGAAGCATGTCAGTCTACATTTCTATACTTCAGCCTCATAGAAATAGGTATAAAACAAGCAAATGTTTTTACTGAATATCAAATTAGCATAAACGACCATTACAAACTGAACAATGATCAAATAAAGTGTATACAGACAGCATTTCAGCATAGCTATTAAGCATGACTATCACTAGCCTAGACTACAAAGCTACTGCAGGTTGGAATATAACCCAAATGCTGTTTGAATATTGGATTTTGTAGTTTGTAGCTGGAAAACATTAGCATGGCCACTTTCTGGCCATCTAGTCAATAACCAACGCTGCCCACTAGTAAGTTTTCTATGGGAAACCCTGAATATGCAATGCTAAAAGAACTTACTATGGGAGCCATGATGTACAACCTGCACTCACAGCCACTAACATGAGAGCAAGAAAGGTCAAAAATTACAGTCCCTTATGCACGCTCTCTTTCTTCTAAATTTCAGAGATACATCCACAGTCCACTTCTGCTTCTAGTGGAATCCATCATGGAGAATAAAGAGAAAGAGTGGCTCTTAAAATAGCAAGGCAAATGTAGAGATGATGATGATAAACGAAATAATAACGTAGAAAATTATGATGATGATGAAAAAAATAGGACATTGTTCTGCTTACTGGCCACTTCCACTATGTCTCCGGGCACAATGTCCCTCGCTTTGATCCTCTGCACTGCCTTCCGGTTCATGCGGTAAACTTTTCCCATCTCCGGCTCGTACTCCTTCAGAGCCTCAATAGCGTTCTCCGCATTGCGTTCCTAAAAAAAAACGGACATTATTTTTAAACTGTAGTTACACTGTAGAAGTTTCTGCAAATGGCAGTTCAATTCATGCAACAACAGTGCAATATGTTGTGGACTATAAAGATTAAGATCAAGATTAATTATTATTAATCCTTATTAGTCCCACAACGGGGAAATTTCACTTCCGCATTTAACCCATCCCATACACCATATATGAATTGGCACATCAGCCACTGCTACAACCACAAAAATCTTTAGTCACAAACAACTACACACAACTATGCACTGATCATGATAAACACATGAAAGAATATGAGTTGGACTCAAAAACACACTTTTAGCATGCAAATGTGTGAGCACAGTCATTTTGTACAGAAAGGGAACAATGACCAGAGCTCAACAGATCAGATTACAATTTACATTTTAAATTATATAGCTCTGGTATTAACAACAGCATGATGTCTGTGTTTCCAGTAAGTTGCCTATGCATATACAGGCAATGGGTGGAATATAATGTGAAGCTTGTTCTTAGGCAGTCTCCTTTTAACAGTATAAAGTCATAAAGATACTGTCAGTCCACATTCTCCTCCAAAAGCAAATAGGCTAACAGATAGGAAGTGTATGTCAAACAACGAGTTGCAAATTTTACACTATCAAAAGCGTTGTGAAATGAAAAAAGGGCAGATCTGTTTCACGTCCTTTAAGTATAAGGACACAAAACGGCCTGCTGGAATTTCTCCTCAGTCAAGAGGATAGGCTTTGCTTTCTGGTTTCAGTTTTAGCGTGTATAGTGTCACACACCTGCCAAACTCCAATGACCGCATTGGCAATCAGAATGAGCAGGATGACTATAGGTTCCACAAAGGCTGTGGTGGACTCCTCGCCTTCCTCAAACAACGCCAGCACCTGAGAGACAAACAAAACACAATCCACACATTAGTTACTTATAATACATTCACACAGGTGTCAACTCACACAGCTAACCTTGTATAAAAATATGTTGTTTTTTTCACAATTTTGGAGGTATACAGCAATATAAGACTGGAATCATGATGAGGTTTGTCTCTCCCTTTCTGCACTTACTAGCTCACACTGTGGGTGGTGGGGTGAGATTTATGTGAAACTGTCATTGAGCACATTCTGTACATTGCCAAACCAATATCAGCACACGCAAGAAGTGAGTGAAGTTCCCCAGTGTTACTCAGAAGAATTTAAAAAGTGTTATTCTGTAATTACAAGAAATTTGCCTGAAAAACTTGTAACTTTCTTGAAAGGCCCACAGCCTACACTGTCTTTTCTTTTATGTTTTCCCTTGAGGTCCACTTACAGTATTTGCGTGGCTGAAAAATTTATTTTATACATATCCCCTTAAACAGCTATATAAATATATCGTTGTGTGTATGGTATCGTCGATTTTTATTTTCTACATCATTTCAACACACCAGCTGTTCTTTACATTGTGTGAAAATTGCATGATAAATGGACCAATAGAAATGCTCTAAAATCACTTGGAATAAAACATCTGTTACATTAACTTACACTGAAAGGTAAGAGTGTTTTTTCCTTCTCCTGTCAAGTTACTATTTTGGAGACTTGTTTTTTTCTTTGGACAGTGAAAATACACACACACACACACACACACACACACACACACACACACACACACACACACACACACACACACATCACTGTTATCGGAACAAAACCTTGCATCTCCAAAATGATGACTTTACAGGAGAAAGAAAAAACCTTCTTTTTCCAAGTAATTTTGGGTCACTTCTTTTGGCCCATTCTTCATGAAATGTATACATTATGTAAAGGGCAACAGGCATTTTCAAATTATGTCAAAAACTAAAAAAAAGACAAAAATGGAGATACAAGGTTTTGCTCCGACAGCAGTGATAGAGATATATAATCTCTAATATTCTGATGTTCTGACACGCTGTTCTGTTTTTGTGTCTCGTTGGAAAAGCACTCTAACTGCTGTAGGATGAATAGGTGGATGTATGCAAATGAGCTGGTTCTTGAGTGACATTACAAAAAAAATGAATTCAAAACAGGCTGCACTGTTTCCATATACAGACTGCTTGGACTGAGGAGTGAATGGTAAGTTTTGAAGCTTTAACAATATTTACATACTACTTTGAACTAAAAAAAGTTAGGGAAATTTGTTTTTCCATATATCCTCGATCAAAACAAACAATGAGTTAAGAGAATGTGACCCACGATTATTGTTTCATTACCTAACTATTTAATGATTCAATGTACATGAAATTTTACAACAGTTTACAAAATAAAATATATTTTTACAGTGCACAAAGATGCCTAAGCAAAGACACATTAGATCCTCAATGTCACAGTGCAGATGACACTACATTGTCAAGTACTGACTGTTCTCTCTCTCTCGTTCTGTACTTGTATTTAACTGTGGGTTCACAAATAATGAATAATTTTAAAAATCTTCGTTGACCATGAAGACATTGACAGCGTTGGATTGTGTCTCTAACATTGGGCAAGAGACTGTTTAGTCCTTCCACGGTTAAATAAAGTTTCAGACTCTGCATTAAGTAACCAGTATAATTACCAGAGAAACATATCACAGTAAAGCTGGATCAAATCTGGATAAAGTGCTGTTGTTGCTGTGATCTTAAAGGGGGAAATGTTCTATCCAGTCTCTATGTATTCATTTATCTACGCATCAATCCATGCTTAAACAGCAATAGTAAAGGCAATACTATTTCAAGTATGCTTACAACTGAAAGTTTACAATCAAGTAACATCTAACTCACAATTAGTAAGTCATTTACAAAGGACCTTATTAACGTATCATGTAAATACCTTTATACCACGTTTCTAAGCTTGCTTACAAATTATATGGCTCTGGTTACTACAGCAGTAGTAATTGCTTGCTATTAGTTTAGTCGTCATTAACTTTGAAATAAAGTGTTACCACATCATTTCCTAAAGAATCCTAATTAAATCATTGTGAGGTCTGATTTATACAATTCTATTATCGTATAATAACACCACAAAAGCAGAAAGTGTCTCTTAGAAGCTTCATTATGAACTGAAACAAACTAGATTTAACTGAACAGGTCAGTGAACAAAGAAAAGTGTCAGTAAAGAACACAAAAATATTTCTCTCTCTCTTGTTGGTGGATGGCGTGTAAAAGACCAGGGATGGACAATTTTTTATGTTCTGAATGGGCGCACAGTATAACGGCTGGTCTAAAGGCCTGTCGCACAAAGCCATATTCTAGATAAGCATCAGAATCATTATGTCTACACTGCTTTCACTGCGTCAGAGCCAGGGAGGCTAGTCTGTAGAACCTGCAGAGAACTGCAGTGGTGTACTCAGGTGCAGCGAGAAGCACAAAAGCCTGTTCATTTCATACCTCCACAAATACGACAAACCTACCGGGGCAGGAAATGGGAGAGAGGTCATTTAAGAAATGGAGCTACATCTCTGAACGCCTCGTCGAGGCTAAAAGTAGCCATGAGGATATGCTGTAATTGGGGAAATATGTGGGGGTTTGAATCACTACTTTGTTGGCCTGGGACCTGTTTCGCTGTAGACCAACATGGCAAGCAATGTACGGCAAAAGAACCCTGACAAGTGTGCAGTTAGTTCATTCTGAGGTTTCGGTTTTCCAAATCAAGTTTTATGGGGTCAAACATAAGAGTTAGCCTTTTATAGGCAGTAGCCTACGCTTTGTTGGCTTTCTTTCACCAGCTTTCAGCAGGCCCAGCTACTGAAGGTGTAAACCTGATATCCTCTGCAGTCAACCTGTCAGCAGTGAATAATCTGGAGCACAAAGTTTGGGCTGGGTGACACAGGCTTTTGTAGTCCACCCACAGAGTGCTGTAAGATTACTAGCAAGGCAAACGTCCAAACAGATGCTGAGACAAAAGCCATCCATTCACTGGATAAGCTTCTAAATAACTTACAGCTATACTCCGGTGTTTTTCAGCCTAATCTCTATCTGCAGCATCTCTATTGTATGGTCAATTTCCACCTAATTGTTTTGACACGCAAATCAGAGACCACCATTCATTTATTTCATTTCCAGTCAAACTGGCCATAAAGTTCAAGTTTTTTTACATTTCAGCATCAGGAAAAAAGCAGAAAACATTTAGCAGAACAGTCCACAGAAGCTTTAACAACTAATATAATATCAAAACTGTTCAGCATTTAGTGTGTCCACTCTTTGTCTCTATTACAGCTTCCACTCTTTTTGGGAGATCTGCTTTCAGTTTTTCAAAGAACTCTACACTTTCAAAGATCTTTGCATGTAAACATCTGATTAATTACATTCCGATTATAGATTAAGACTGAGGTGTTTATATCACACTCTACTCAACAATCTGATGGAAAAATCTCCGTTTACATGCACACTACAAGTAATCTGATCCAAAATTTCACACATGCGTAGAGAACCACTTAATGGAGATGTTATCATGACAACGAACATCACGCAAGTCCATTCAGAGTGAGACGGGCAGCAGTGTGTTAGCTGAGTTTTCAGTTGGCGCGCTTGTGTTTTTAATTGCCTTAAAATTATGTCAGACGTCATGTTATGAGACACATAAGCTGGACATCTCTCCCACCGCCGCCTTTGAAAGTTCAAAGCATAAACTCCATCTCCTCTGCAGACCAGTTTCTGCTCCCGCCATATTGAGCGTTATGACGCAAACGCGCATGTGCAGAGCGTACTTACACTTTCCGACCGGGAATGTAATCAGATACAGATGTTTACATGGTTATTATCCTTCTATTTAACGGATTATTTCCAGTATTACACACCTCATTCAATCGGATAGAAATCATATTCTGAGCGGCCTCAATCGGACTAGACTAGTGTTTACATGGACGTAATCTGTTCTGATTGAGCTACTAGTCAAATTGTTAACGGATTATCAGGCTGCATGTAAACTTGGCTACTGATATTTTCCCACAACTCCAAAGTTCAGTCTTAGAAGTTGGTTGCATTTTCTTCTTTTCACCATCCAAGTAATCCCAAATACATTCAGCAATGTTGAAGTTTGGACTCTGGGGTGGCCAGTTCATTTTTCTGGGAACACTAGCAGCTTCTTCATTTGCCTATTTCTTTTCTGAGTAACAGCTTTTTAACAGCTACACATCCTTTCAAGACCCATGTAGTTGTCTCCTCAATAGGGATTTTTTCAGATCTGAAACAAGAGCGAGGCTTGATTTTCTCCTGTTTCTCAAAGACAGAAGCTTTAAATACTACTTCTGTGAATGTGACAGTTTTGGTGGTCTTTCAGGTCTTGCATGGATGATCCATCGCCTGAATGAATAACTTGCTCTTAATGGCCATTTTGACAGGAATTTTAATAAATGGACAGTCTTGGATTTTTACACAGTACTATAAACTAGAAACCAATCAGCAGCTGCTCACTGACCTATAAGTGTATTATGAGTCAATGGCTTTCTTGTCCTAGCGCACAGGAAAACAGGTTAAAATGACTGTTTATGGGAAACAAACGTAAGATACAGATGCAGCAAGGTTCAAAAACGCTAGCGTGCTCCTTTAAAAAGACATGTGTGTACTTATGTGTAAGTGTGAGAAGAAGAAGATGCAGAGAAAAAAAAAAACTACAGGAAGAGGGAGGACTCGTGATGTTAGAAAGCTGATATGGTGTAATGATTATAAATATTGCACATTAATACGCTTATCTTGCCAGCTGATCTGTTGAGCTCATAAACTTCTGTGGTAATTGTCTTGGCGTGTCCTGAAAGGACCGCTGGCATTATGAATGCATATTGCTTTTGCAGTCTCTCTTTCTCTCTGGGTCTCTCGGCCCCATGAGTCTAAGCAGGTTAGGCACAGTCCAGCTATAGAGCTGCCTCTCTTTTTCTTTTCATTACAGACCGATGGGTACTG